TCCCCTTTGTGGTGACGACCTGACCGTGAGAGGACCATGCTGTGACACCAGAGGACTATGAATCGTGCGACACCGGACATCCCAAGGCTTTTGAGTGTAGTGTTCGGTCACGGTCAACTCGCTCATGATAAAGCATGGACGCATTCATCTGGCACTACCGTGGTTTAGAGTGCAAGTCACGTGAGCTTACGTTCATTTGCATTTCCAAGCGAAAAAGGTTTGCAGAACAATGGTTCGGTTGCTTCTCACTCCTCATTTACGACGTCTCAGGGTAATGAGTCACTAACAATCATCATGTAGGATAAAACCTTAATTACATCTCTGGCGAATAAAACAAACTTTATTCCGGGAAAATGATGGCATTCAAAACTGTGATATTTGTCCTACACTGTCCTACGTTGAGCAGACTGTAGTTATGATTGCATCTCCCGTTAAGTTGACGATGAAGTTCCGTTTCATTTCATAGGATTTACAAAATTGGTGTAATCTGAAGTGAATCGTTTCTAACCCGGTAGGTGATGCGAGAGATGACGAGGAGAGGGAAAGAGNGAAACCTAACCGCCGCCCGCGGGGCACTGCCTTCAGGAAGCGAGTTCGAATGAGACACACAATGGCATAAAAAAAAACATTCGTGACTTGATTTCTCCTAAATTTGGTAGAAAACCTATAGATATCAGGTGGATAGCCAGTGCAAAGCGATAAAAATCACTGAACCATACCGGATTCAGCAATGTGGCATATAGAGTGCACACACCACTTACTCGAAAGCGTGCTGAACCATTGCATAGGAATCCTCGCTGAAGTGCTCACAACTTTTCTCAAGTTCATTGTCCAACAAGTCATCGATACGTGAACCCAATGCCTTGAGTTTCAAATGAATGGGTCTGAAAATAACCGAAAAACGGCTTGATTAAAAACCTGCCAAAGATAGAGACCAGACACTGAAGACTGTGTTGCATAAGAGAGGCAATAACTGGGAGGAACAACTGAGCGGAGAATCCAATGCCCAGAAGAAGGATCAGGCAGACAACGCTACATGAAGATGACTGCTACTTAAAAGAGACCGTCTCCCATGGCAAGAAAAGTCGGACACACAGCATGAGCTGTCACCAAAACTCCGGTAATTTGAACATAGAAAACCCCGGAATCTAGAACAAGGGGTGATAACGTCAATGAAACGACGCGGTGAAACGCGTCAGTTTGCTCTAGCTTGCATGTATGAATGGAAACGGAATTCGCATTTTGCCTGTGAAATTAAAATATGGTGTGCTCATATCTAGCTTACGGATAAAAAAGACAAAATTTAGGCGCACCTGAAAGTGACTGAAACAGATTCATGTGTTAGACGGGCAAGTTAGTGGACTGAAGATTAGTTAGTGATGAACTACACACTTTCTTTGACTCAGTAAACAGTGAAGCTCTTCTACAGACGCAAGCCTAAATGACTGGACAACCCGTGCAAGCACCTGCGGCCACTGTTCTATTTACCAGTGAATACAGTATCCATCGAATTGATAGGTTATTCCAGTTAGCATCAAGCTATGGTTTGCACATTGTTGACGCACGGAACAGTGCTAACTTAAATGTTGAATATGCGGTCAAGTAAATGGCCGAACCCGCAGAGCGCGGAGATTGTGAGTACTTCACAGTTCCTGTGTTGCACATTGATCCTCCATTAAAGTATCCAATCAGACCTACGTGAGAAGTAGTGTGCCGAACGGGAGGCGCAGTTATAGTGGAAAAAACAACCAGCCTTATCTTCACCACGTTATATCGTACACTTCTGTTTCAAACAACATCTGACTGTGAGGAAGTGCAAAATATCACAGAAACAACATAGTATCGCATTTTGTCACGAAGGGCTACTGGAATTAGCACTCCCTAGATTTGTAGTCCCAGCCTGATTAGTGGTTGCAAGCAGAATCACTAACCGCAAAATTGTTGGATTTCAGGAACCTTTTTCCTATCGATAGCCTCAGCAGGTTTCTCCGAATGTTGGAAACTAGCACAGTGATAGAATTTGAACTCGGAATGCATGGTAAACAACGATGGAAAGTTAAGTGAATACTGAGCAAGGCTTGTTCACACAAAAGTGCTTCATCGGAAATTAGGGGACCGCAAACATACTCAATGCAACGATACTGTCGACAGTCCTCTAGAAGTACCAAGCTCTCGCGATGCACTTCAATTGCCGCATAGAAGGAACCCTCCTGAAATGCAGACATGAGAAACCGCATGTAACCAACATCAAGATGGGAAGCAGTTCATGAATAGAAACGTTAACTGGGAATGGCATCACACGAAGTTTTGTAGCAGGCCGGAAAAGCAGCTTACATCGCATTTCGTCTAGCAACAGATGTATGTTGCACCCATACGTGAAGCCTTGATTGAAAAAATCAAAAATCAAGTTCCACATCAAACATGCTCTGATTTCCATGTAAACCAATATATCACACATAGGACGAAACTATCTACTGATATTATCTAGCGAAACCACACTGCGAGGCCCAGAGCGCTCTCTACCAATGATCTCGCTGTAAACGTCTTCGCTTTGCTATTGCATTTCGGCAAACAAATAGGCAGAAAAACACCAAAGACAGCCAGAAACGAAAATCACCAATGTGGCATGCAAAGGACATCAAAATCGATCTGGTATTGTGGTAAAATATGAGATAATTAGGCGAACGGACGAACCAGCCTATCCTGTGCTAAAGAGGGTTAAAGAAAGAAGGGACTAAAGTATTCAAAATTGCAGCGCTCCAGGCATAAATAAAAGAGTTAAGCAGGCCGGTAAAAGGAATTCAAGTGTTTCGCTGGTTGTAGACATTTGTGGCGAAAAAGAGATCTTCGATCTTCACAACTCTGTAACCATACACAAGGAATTTACCAATGGTCGTTTTTCTGACCAAATAGACCAACAAACTGAGAAAAAACTTCGATACAAACTATTCGTGAATATATCGGGTTATCGAAGCGAAACGCCAGAAATAGACATTTATTGTAAATGACACCTTTGTGGTCCCTGGACAGCCAGGTCTTTAGTTCGTAGTATCTTCAGAGCTGAACATCAATATCTTTACAAGTATCGCGATTTCCAAAAATGACCAGAATTGCCGAACAGGTTACGCATGGGTTAAGCCCTCTAGGTCTTCAACTGATAAAAAACCCTATGCTGAACTCATAGCTCAGGTAAGTGAGGTTCCAGATATTTATCTACCCCATAAAAGTAAGAAACACAACAGAGTTGCTCAAAAACGTGATCTGATTCGTAAAACCCTGACGCATTCCGCAAGTCAGTAAATGTTCCAGATATCGTGGTGACCTGACTGGCTGCTGAATACGAAGAGTGGTAGCAAAAAAACGTGAAGCCATTGAAGTTCCGCATTTTTTTCTCATCGCTGCGTACGAACACAATGTGTTTTTTAGATTGCCGTTAAAATTGTTGATACATCAATAATTCGTCAAACTTTGGCTTTACAAACCGTGTATGGACTACTACTAGTCAAGACTGCAATAAACTGCTCAAAAGTGACTCACTGCATACGGCTTGTTTTGAAGGAATTCCAAGCACTCTACCAAATACCCTGTGATAATCGGTACTTGTTAGAAACGACATAATTTGTAGATACTGTTTACTGCTATCCCATTAACCACAATTAAGGCCTATAAGATTGGCAAGTTTTTTTTATGATGTTTTACGTAGGTTCAACGTATGTTCCAAACGATCGTCCAACGCCAACTGCTTTGCGCTTTATCAGATCGTCACCTGATTGCGCTTTATCATAGTGCCACACTCAAGCCAGTGCGTCGAAAAGAGAAAAAATGAAACCATCAAATTTATTAGAGTTAATTTGCACTCCTGATCCCTGAGTGACTCTACGAGGTGAGCCACGACATACAGAAGCTATTCCATTGATGAGTTGGGCCTAGAGTCACTTCGCTAAGACACACTGCACAACCAACTGCATTTACGCATTGTTGGACCATCCAGCTGGTCACTTATGGCACTAACTAGAATGGCCGGGAAAAGAAGAGAAACGTACTGAACTGAGAAGCTCACCAAACATGTTTCAGTAAATGAGTGCTCAGGAAGCGCTACTTGGAACACGAAGTGCAACGATAAGACAACGTTCAAAATGACAAATATATGAAAGGTGTTCCAATCCGATCAACTCGGCTCAACGATGGTACTATGCAAGGACTCTAAAAAACCGAGTTCCGATCGCTTGCGAGACCAAGAAATGATTACTGTCACACTTGAGAAGTCTAATGGTTATATATCCCTTTACAGGTTTCTTAAAACTAAATAGAAGTGTGTAGTCATATGGTTGCACAACGAGAGAGCACACAGTAGCTAGGCTGGGAACGCCGAACCGAAACATACACTGGATATGGCCTGGCGTGCAGCAGAGCTTCAGTGAAGAAACCATGACGAAGCATGCAGCAAGATGGCAGCTCAAAGCATAGTATGAACGTTTACCCTGTCTCCAAAAAGAGGCCAATAGATGGTAGCTTAGGAGCACCGATCCGTCTGCAACAGTTCGGCGGATAAAGTAAGTTTACCAGATCCACCCTAACTTTCTGAAGTTACTAGATAGCTAAGCCTGAGAAGACTCAACAAGTGACTTTTGGGACGACCGACAACTCGATCATACTTTCGATCAGTTGCTCGTGGTCGAACAGTTGAGTGTTCAAACTGCTAGCCTGAGTGATTCGGGTTACGTCAGATGCGTACTACTGATAAAACCAAACAATAATGAAACAGGTATACAGTGCTTATTGGCTTTTGAGCTCACAGAACGAAATTTCCGTGTTAATTTCGTCAGAGGCTTACCCGTCAGCAGGTCTAGGTAGTCCAACGTCACCTATGTAAAGCGGTTAAGAAACTTAGCCAAACGTTAGTTTTTCCAACGAAACCTAACGGCCCTGAGGACATCTTTTCATCCAGAATTCAACAAAGTCCATGGATGCAGTCTTCCACAAACACCGTTGGAAGTTCGCAAAGTGGAGACCACTCAGCAAGGAAACCATTTAGAAAGACGAGACGACAGGCAACCTTGAGCGTTCGTACCCGGTCCTGACTCACGAATATCCACTGGATATCACTTGAAAACCAACCCAAAATAACGAAGGGACATAACTTACCATCAACAACGAATCGAGATGATGTATGCTGTTTTGCAATGCTCGAATATGTCGTATCACATGGAGTGCTTTAAGCAACCGGAGACGGCGGCGATAATTTCGTAGCACAGTTAGCCTTGATATCACCAACACGTTTGCCGACGATTTAAGAGAACTGCAGAGAGCAACAGAATTGAATAAAAAGAAGGTATATACTTCGAACAATGATACTTAGAACATCTGGCCTTCTAGAATGTAGCGAAAGGGTTTAAAGTAATGATAGTACTACTACTCCATTATCATTACTGTTCTTCACGATGGCACACCGCAGTTTACGCTCCACCTCTCCAAGTCGGACGGGCACTTCTCTCCTAAATGGTTTGATCATGCCTGCGTCCACATGATGCGCGAAAAAAATCGACTATATAAAAGTGGGAAAATACATTTCCGTCCAATCACACGTTTCAACTACTCAAATGCTCGTAAGTCCTGCACTACCATCATCAACAAGGCCATTAGTAAGATCGTTTGTCGCAAGCTTGATCAAATGTATGGTGTAGTTGATGGAAGTCAATTATTCTTGTATCTCACGAATGCCGCTGAGCGTAACCTCTGTTCATCCACCTTTACTGCCACTCCTCATTAAATACCCGCCACAGGAAAAAGTCGACATACTTAGTCAATGTTTTGCCTGCGGCTCTACTATATCTCCCGCATCAACTATTCCAGTGCTCACTGATTTATCTAGCCATTACAGCAAGGAAGAATTTCAAGTCTCTCCTTTTCCTTAACAATGTTGTCCTGAGCAATCACCACTAGGAATGTAAGCGCCATAGAAACATGAATGACATATTCACGTGCTCCTAAGGTACGGACACTTGTTCTAGACTCTTCTAGTGAAAATAAACTGGTCGGCCTGGACGTTTTGAACTTTTGACCTTGTTTGATCAACTGTGTAAGAGACCTAAAAGCGGATAAGTCTCCATAAGTTCATACTGACGGCTGCCTGCAAGATCCAAAACTAAATTAAAGATTAGGAATCTGTATATACAGCCAGACGGTGTCTTAAGAACATTCACACAACCACACCCAGCACAAGGAGTGTCTGCTCCCTGTATCTTCCCTGTTCAGTCAGGCGGTATACTGAAATGTGAACGAGCTTCTCTGTTATCTTTACACCTCCGGAAAAGGACCTTTTGGTCCATGCGACACCCACGGAAGCTATAGCCGGTAGCAAAACAACCGCAGTGTGTATTTTGTCTCTCCGCATACACCCATGAGTTGGCCTGCTCAGCAACAGCACGTTTCAGATTTGTTCTATGGGTAACATGTACTTTCGCAATGGATGAAACGTAGTGTGCCAATTAACGGGGATCAAAATATTTCGCTTTCCTGAATAACAATCAAGAGGTAGTTCAATTCGGAGGCAGTTAACGCACTGTACAAGATATTCCCTGTCACCTTCCGACAGACGCACTCCGGTAGAAATCCTTGACTCCAAGGTGCTATAGCACGACGGAAAACCGCCTATTAGCGATTACTATGTGATAAGCCATGTACCTTAAACACTAAAGAGAACAGTGTCGTTGCACACAAGATCATTAACTTGACATCTGACATACAATACAGTACAACAGCATCAAATTAGCACCACTAATCCTGAAGAGTGTTGTTTAAATTGCATGGAAGGGTTTTCGCAAAAGCAAGTTTCCGAATAGACCCTTTGGAAAACAATACTCTCATCAACGTAAAGCGTATCCGGTAGAGGCTTCCTCGAGCTACGTTTTAAGCTTTTAAAAGTGTCTTACCAAGCCAAGGGGTGATAAGGCTCATTGGTTAGAGTACGAAGCGGAAGGTCCGTCGTTCAAACCCGACCTCGACTTCTCGACTTCTTCTCTCTAGCCTTAGGCAACCTGGCAATACCCCAGGCCTCTTGCTTCCTTCTGGTGGCATGGCAGTTAGGTACCAAAAGGGTGTTACAGCTGAGCGATTTTTTCTTTAGCATTAAGCCATCTGACTCGACCACAAGAATACCGAATATGGCTGAGAAAAGCAGTTCTTATTGCCTCCTGAAAATCGACACGAGCACATATCAACCAAGATTGCGCACTCAAAGCCCTCAAACGCGGGATAATCAAGAACCTGGATTGCAAATGCCCGACAGATGGAGAGAATTTAAGCTGCAGGCATCAGCCGGCCAATAAAATTGGTTTCGACAAAACAATTTCCTAGAAAGATGGAAAGACAATTCATTCTTGAAATGGTCATGGGATGGGGTGAAAATTTTTAAAGGACGGTTCAAGTGGTCTCCTAAAGCGGAACCTGTGGAAGCACCCAATTAGGAGATCTTATGGGGAATCCAGTGGGTGTGTACGCTTATGCAGTAAACTTTCGCCCGACTTTACCACGTCCAGTGATGTAAGACAAGGCCACCCTGTCTCACCACTTCTCTTCAACATTGATAGTGCTGTTCCACACTTCTCTGCTTGCCTTTGAAGCCTCTGGGATTGGAATTTCTCCATGACATTCAGTCGCAAAGATTAAGTGTGGGGACGATAACACTTTCCTTGGTTCACATTCCTCAAATAACCGAAATAATTCTGCTGCACGGTTTTATATGCGCTTCATACCTTTTAGGTGTAAATAGTATAAATGAACTGACCGGAGACGAGATCGCTTCACGAATCGGGAAAGCCAGTGCCGAAGTGACGTCAGTTTGCCTGTCAACGACACGTTCAAGACTAAGGCTGGCTTTATGGGTTAAAAACATGACCTCTGCGCGCAAAGAATGCAGAAAACTCTCGGAATCCGACCGTCGGTGTTTCCAAGGCATTGGACAAGTATGGCAGAAGCATTTAATTAGCAGTGCATAGGTGCGTCAAGTGGTTTGAGGAAGAAAATCTCGCACGATAAATTAGCTACTCGCCCGTAGTAGGTTATGCTGGTTACGACGTGTACTCCACAGGGTTAATTTTACCTAGCTCAGTTATGAGTGCAAATGGCCGGGAGGTAGACAGTGCATGACCTGGTAACGAAGTATGAAAGCACTAACCAGCAAAACCTAGTCCTGATGACAACTGGATGAGGACCTCGGGACCCAATTTGTCAATGGTTAGTGACACTGGCAAATATGTGCCAATCGTACAGGCAGTGATGCTCTTACATTAAAGCTATCGCCTTCAATATGCAGCTTTCCAGTTTCTGATTTCCCCGATAGCTAGAGCGATTAAATGAGAAATACACTGTCACGCCATCATTCCCAGTGCTTTGGTATATCTCCTCTCCTCTCCCACTTTCGGTGAGCGAGACTGTCGCGGTTAGAACTAAAGTACCCTTGAAATATTGATCGTCGCTGGTAATCTGAACTGAAGTGAAAGCCCTGCTCACTAACTATAGCAGGCGAAAGTTCTGTCTAGTAAGTAGAAAGTAATTAGGAAGACATCTACTGAATTAAACAATACAAGCCAAAACTTACTTCCTTATACGTCGGCAAAGTTCAAGAGTCTCCAAGTTGTCTGCCTGAAGTAGAAGCACACCTTTCAGCTCGGCTTCATAGAGAGGATGCTTTTCCAAAATAAGTTCAGATACGCGTCGTGACACAGCTTTATTCTGATTCTCCAGGATCTGAAGTCGACGTTTCAACTCTTCCAGCTGGCGACAACTAGGCCCTGCTGAGGTCTGTGGCGTTACCAAAAAGAGTGAAGAGGTTACGGTGTCACAGAGATAAAAAAGTAACTAGGTGGTTGAATAAGCAAAGCGATGACCTTAATAAAACTGAAGTATAAACTGAAGTATATGGTTAGTGCTAAATACGTAACGACAGCCTGATAATTTGAACCTAAAATTCAATGAATAATTCGAAATTTTGAGCTCTGACTACCAATACTTTGCAAAGTTAGTCAAAGTTGATGGTAATCCGTCAACTAGTGTCAGAAAAAGGATCACGTTTGGTAGTCGAAGAGTCGGATTGCATCTGGCAATAAAACCGATTGGTAACCACCAGCACCTTTCGCAGTGAACCGAATACCTAGGACGCCCGAACTCCACACCTCGTACCCTGGGTTTGGATTACCTGACGCACAAAAAAGCTTAGAATGGCGCAATCCTGACATGTACCACACCGGAAGAAGTGGTAGAAAGCCAAAAGCCTGGTCGACCTAAACATAACTGCATTCGCACCAACCAAATCCCAGCTTCTCACAAGCGAACTTCTCAAGGGTGGGTACTAAGCAATGCACTGCAACGGCATGAAGCTTCCAATTTAGCCTCCTTATTTCAGCTAGAAACTTAATGGAACCAAACCATAATTGCATTTCGAAATCGATGTTGCGGAATATGGGTACGTCGGTTGAGCTGATTGGTTGTTGACTTGTTCGCCAAGCTTGGTGGCCGGATTACAAAATGTGTCATCACACCGGCGAACAAGCCAACAACCAAGTTTCGAAATTGGATTGCACTCAACTTGTGTAAACGGAATGGTTCGGACTATTTTGACCAAAATGCCGTCAAATATGATAACATTCGGTTGATGAATCATATGCATTTGTTAGGTTGAAAAAACTGCATGCAAATTATGTCAATCCGTATATCACTCACTTCAATTTCGTACTTCCCGGAATCGAATGTCATCGAATAGTATTGTTTATCCACCTTACTGAGGACATCCTGAATCAACTGAGGGTCATTCGGAAAGGGTGGAGAGCCTTGAGGCTGATAATTCGTTAGGTTCGTCCGCGGCGTATAAGACTGAAACTCACCTCGAAGTGTCCGATTGACGGAATCGTGAAATCAACCCACTCGTCCAGATCAGCATTCTGTGATACGTGGTTGTGGCTTGGTTGTTGAAGCTGGCCTTTCGATTTTGGTGTAGGCTGTTTCTAGAACGAAATATACCATTTTTGGTTCGATTTCTGACTATTGAACAATAACATTTGGCCATGTTATGTGATTGGAGTGAAAAAGAATTTGTACAGCGATTGTGAAACATCGAAAATTTCAGCCCATCAACAGGTACCCCATCCTTCTTGGTTTTACCAGTGCCGTCTGGCAATAATACCTCCAGAATTTTCATTGCAACCTGCTAACCACATAATCTTCAGCTAGTATTTAGTTGAATTGAGTGTCCGTGGAGTCGAAATGTTTCCAAGATATGCCATTTAAAACTATAAGTATGGGGAACTCAGGACAACGCTGAGCTCGGTCTAGCGAAATCGAAGGTTCTATAAAATACCGTATTCGAAAATAGTTGAGAGGTTTGGTAAACATTAGTTCCCGTGTACCATGGTGTACACTCCCGTTGTAAAGGGACTTCCGAAAAACAGTGCATTTTTGGCTCGTGTTGAAGGTGGGCTTTCGAGGGCAATGACCCCGACACATAAGGAGGTGCGAGAAAACTGCACTGAAGTAGTGAAAGCTTACTGAAGTGATTTTCAAAAAGTTATATCCAGTGTTACTTAAGCGAAACGACCTCGTCAGTAAAAACAGTGCAAATCACTGTTTCAGGATGACGAACTTCATGAACCACCAGATAAAACTAAACCTGTCGGCTAGGATCATTTGTGATTTCTTTTGCTTCTAATCACCCACGGCGCCCTGGAACTCCTTATAATAAGAACGACAGCATAACCTTGCGACAGTATACGGCCATGCTAAAAAATTTTCACAAAAATAACTGCAAATGCATGTGCCAGGACTTTTGTTGGTCTGCGTAATTCCTAGCTGACACTATCGATGCAGCATTTTACAACACAAGTTTCATTTGTCACTAAGTCAAAAACATACATAGGCAAAAAGGATCTAACTTGGACTGAAAGATCGTTTATTAGTAACTTCAATCCAAAAGGCATTCATGGGATCGCAAGTAATAAGCAGGGCAAGCTAGTATACTGTATCCACTTATTAAATGCCGAATGATGCCCAAAACGAGCAGTTTGAGCTGCGACACTGGGAAGAGGAAAATCGAGTCCCTTTTCAATTGCACAGTGGGGGTGAAATCAGCTCCCATGGTGCGGTAATAAATTGTTCCACAACCTACTGTTAGACGGAGTAAACAAGTTATGGGTAGTTTACAAGCATCGGCTTGCATTTTGTAATTCAAAGGTCAAAAGTTGTCAAGCTCAGGTCCACAAGCTCCGTTTATAGGGAATAAAACTGCTTTGGAAAGAAGTTGTGAGCATCCTACGAACGTCGGAGTAGTCTCTTCAGAACTGAAATATTCTACAGAAAGCCTGTAAGGAACTCTTAATGTGGACTATCTTGTGAAATAACTTCTATTTCAGGATGTCTCCTAGGCGACTGCGTCATAACGAGTTTTCACCTTTCGATTATATTCTCCTCGTTTTTCGATGGCTGATCCATTCACTGAGGGATATAAACTGGCCATGATGTCGTTTACAATGCCTAAGATATTTAAAGTTTAGAAGCGTCTGAAACGTCACGACTGAATCCAAACACTACATTGAGATCAAATTCATGGGTTGACAACCGTAGCCACGTCAATTCTGCAGCGCTCCCTCGCCCCCATGTTTCGTTCCCACCAGACAAGTTTACTGTGTTGAGGTCTAACAAGCTGAACATAGGCCGCTGGCGTATGTCGCTTCCAAGGGAGTAGTGTTCATGACACTAGCTCGATCATTCGGTTACACCTACTGCACATCTCCAACAATAGGTATCACGTATGTCTACCGATACCTTTGAAAAATCTGCAACTTCGTAGTCCAGCTGAAGTTGTGCTGGTTGATATGATCTCTCCAGGCGTCCGACTTTGAGCAGTGAGACTACCACGCTTGTGCTCCATTAAGAGGCGAAGATCGCTTTCCGTTTGTTGCGGGTGCTTCTGTCGCGACGAAACGCACCTCAAATGTGGTGAACACTACATTAACGAATAAAGATGCGCGCGGGAAACCCAAGTGGTCTTATATGGGGATCTAAAGGGCGGAAATCGGTTATCAACCTTCAAACAAGGCCCATATGGGGAATATTCGGTTGAAATACTGGACGCTCGAACAACAAAAGCATGCATTCAACCCTGTGCTCAGCAGACCAGCTTTAGCTTCGCATCATAGTAGATGACAGGCTGTAAATTCGCGCCCACCTATTCCACGGCGATTCGCAATCAACTTTTGACTTTCTGGCCAAAAGACTGATGCACGGGTGGTATTCCCATCATGTTGCTGCACTTTCTTCACGAAGAAATTGTCATCTTTGAAGAACACAGGATGCAAAGCGTCTGGACCGGATACCTTGTTGTGCTGAATCACTGGAACTGCACGCTGGATAATGGACTGGTGTGAACGTTTCATTCAGTTTCATATGATTCTTCCAGAATTTGGGTTGATAGGAATCAGACGAAGTACTCTTCAAAGTGCTCAGCGAACCTTTCTAGACAATATTTCTGCAAATGAATTGATGTTCCGTCCTTAGGCCAGTTGATCTTCACCTGGAATAGGGTGCGACTTTTCACCTTTGCAAACACTCGTTACTTCCGGAGTCTTCGCTTTCAACTAGCACTTTATGTGGATCCTTAAGCTTTCCACTTTTCGCCGCTTTAAGTTTCTGCGTTCGTCATCACATTCATTGGCTGCTGGCATAGTTGTCCTGGCATCAATCAAAGCAGCTTATCGTGGCGGGGTGCATTGTTACCGTGTGTGTGTGTGTGTGTGTGTGTGTGTGTGTGTGTGTGTGAACGACCCCGAGCAGACGGCTTATAAAGCTGAGCATGGCTTTCTTCACGTTTCCCTAATCGTTACTAAAATCACCACTACCACGATTGTGGCCGTCAAGTTCAGGGAGCTTCTCAGCCAGCTCAACTCAATATTATTGAACCCAGAGGCTGAACTGAATGGCGCTCTATCAACCGGCGTGTTCACGACAGACAGTGAACATATGCACATGCCCGCATTGATGTACCCCAAAGTGAACCAAAATCTTGTATCGAAGCTCTCCGCGGGTAGATGGTTGCCATATGACAAAACTGAGTCCATAACTGATTTGCATCTAGTGGCCTTCACGTCACACGATTTGGGCGCTTGTGTTGAAAGTTGGCTCGCTGGAAACAAGTTACAATTGGCAAACAACTATGTTTGTCCCGAGTGATTCGAGGTCTATGATCAAAGTTAGGTCTTGTGGGAATGTTTTGGAGATATATCTTGCATCGATCTACAGAGATAACAAAGTATAAGCAAGAGCTGGCTGTTGTCCAGTTTAACGGGACATTCGCTCACGGGTATTGAACACGCAGACAATATTGCTCCGCTTGAATCAGACCCTTCAGAAAATGCAAAGCATTTTAAGTAACCTAAATAAATCTGCCTCACGGAACCAATGCACCTATGTTACACGGTCTACAGCTGATAAATTGATGGAATTCCGAATCATTTATGCCGAGGAGAGTGCTATTTTCCATGCCCCGTTTACAGTAGTGCGAATAGAGGGGTGTTCAGCCTTTGACCTGGCAAAGGGATATGAAACTGATTAGTGAAAGCATGGGTAATGTGGGTGCTACTCGCCTTCTAGGATGGGGCCCGCGTGATCCTCCTGCGCGAGGTTAAAGGCGCTGCGTGGTATAGTTGCTGACTGATGTCAATGACATTGTTGTCGTCACTTTCCCTCCAGACTGTTTGAATGAGGGTTTAGAGATGTAAGCATCTCGGAATGATCGTGATGGGCTAGCATTAAGTCCCTTCTCCATCCGCTTTTCTTTTCTTAGCGAAAAAGCCCTGAGATAAACTGTGGTTGCACGGCGGCGAAGTATCAGCGTTTGAATACCGACCTCGCCTTCAGTCCAAGCATTCTTTACAACTTCTGGTGGGTATCTATTTAAGCGAAACATCCCCTCCAGACCGTTAAGTACGGCGTCGTGGAGAGTTTTCTGGCTGTATCAGTATAACTTTCTAATAAGGCTACCACAGCGCAAACGTGGCATGAAACCCTGTAACAAGGAGGAAAAACACTGGTCGAAGTGTTTTTGTGAACTGACCCACGAGGTGCTCTAGAGTCTCAACGGGTCAGTCAGATTCAAGAAGGATAACTGTGGAACTCGTGCTCAACTGCTACATAATTGTTTCTGTGGGTTGTGTTCAGTGCCCGAAACTGATCCTCTGACCACCAAGGCATCACCAATATGTCCTTTGTAGAATTTCACCCGTCCAGTGAGGTCTACCACTTGTTCTGGCTGTGACAAGACCAAGCAACACTGACGCCTTTAATCTGTCTGCAACGTTGTCTGGAAGCTGGAACTGGCATTATGCGAAACCACAGCAGATGTTTCAGTCCGGTTTCTGGTTCTCCAAGCTCAGTGTTGTTAGTATCTCAGGTAGATCTTATATATTGGTAAGTTTGTGACCAAAAGATGATTCTTAAAACTACAAGGTGTTGACCTTGAAGCTTCGACTGCGGCACCAATGCCGTCAGTTCGTAACCCTCCCCAAAAGTGTAGATTATCAACCAGTCACACATAGTTTCAGTACTTGCTCCAACCAGTTCACTCCTTCATGCTGAGAGGAGCATCTAGGTTCTCTGCTGCTCATGCTGATGAGCCACATGATCCATTTGTTGGCGGTGAAGAGCCCTAATTTAATTGTGTCATCCTGCGGTGTACTACTCCATTCTGCTCATGTCATTTAACGGTCCCGTCTATTAATTCCCCATCTGAGTACACATACCTTGACACAGGGTTACTAAACTAGTCAACCCAGATGGCCTTATACCAGGAAAAGCAATGTTACTGCAACACTGTGTGGAACCAGACCCAAAACTCATGCTTCCAGACGAACAGGTCGGCATGGCAGATAATTTCGTCTATGTGTACAGCTGCATAAGTCAAAACGTTGGCGGAGACGAGATCAGATTCCCAGTTGGGAAGGCCATGGCAGCGTTTGCCAACCCCCGACATTCGTGGCACACAGGTGACATCGGTTTGGTTGTCAGTGGAAGAGTAGGACACCGGTGACTGATATGTCCTATTTTGTAGATCAAAGACGTGTTCGTTGTGTGGAAGATCTCTAAAATTTCTCGCTGTTCGTATATTGGTACACCCGAGGCATTGCTCGAGTCCGGTGGGAACATAAGGTCAATAATAATTAGGTGCACAGTTTTCGGGAAAGTTTACTCCCTCTCGATAAAGCCACTGGTCACAATGCACAAGTTAGGTTGAGTAAGCCTTGTGACTTATTACGCCAGAGGACCGATTTCTGAGTAAAATCCTCTCCTAAAGCCTCGCCACAGACAGAGACAACCGGAAGTAAATGCCCCGGCAACGAAGTATAAAAGTCCTTACCAGTGGACTCAGCTGCATTAAAAACTGTCATCTACAAATATGTAGAACGTAGAACGTGACAAACAAATGTTCAGTCCCCTGACTGTTACAAAACCAATGAAAGTCTGGCAAAAAAGTCCCCAATAACTACCAAACTAATAAACTAATAATACTGGTTCAATTGCGATACCATTTCGGTGAACACCCTCCATACCAACCAAAAGAAGCACGCACAAGAACCCGAATTCATAAAAACGACTCACATATGAAACAATCCTTCTCAACTTCTCCATGACAACAGGCCAATAAGCTCAAACGTTCTGCCACTCTTTCATGCGCGAAAACCGCATGAATAGCTTAAAAGCCCAGCGACCAGGCTTATATCTATCATACGAACATGTATAAGCCAACGACAATGAACGTCGAAGCCCTGAGAATCGGCTTCAAGAAAGCGGCGTCCCAGCTGATCCGCCCGCTTTTTGATGACCTTGAACATTGGCGGAACAGAGGGCACAAGGTTTTCCTACTGACCATGAAGCACGTGAGCCTTTGGTGACCGACTTGTCAGTTCACTATGGTTGGACTAAGAGAGGTATACAGTACTCTAGTTGATACTGTACAATGCGTACAGTTTTTTCTCATGGTGTAAATAGGCTTACGCAACGATGAAAATACAACAAAGGTAGGAAGCGGTTTCACGGATTCATGGATTGATACACAGGATCGATGCTTTTGCCCAAGTTTCCCGGATCGCTTTTGTTCTTGTCGGTCAGTGGCTGTCGTTCACCTGAAAGGCACAAGTGAAAAGAGGGTGTAGCACTGCTCTTTTTGTTCTCAGCGCGAGGCGGCGTGCTCGCCAGTGGGAGGATTCGCGTAGTGTTTTAAACTGGGTTCAAGAAGGAGCGTGTACAACCGTCGGAGGAAGGTCATTCATTCCACGCATACCCGAAATGAAAAAAATATCTAATGAATGTTTGTGCCCTGAGCTTGAAAATTATCTTACTATGTCCCCGCCGGGTGTTGTGTTTGTCAACGGTAAAAATATTGCCTGCCAAGCTTTGTTCAAACGGGGCGTAAGTAAGAATTAGGTCCCCTCGGAGGCGACAGTACTCCAGGGGAAAGAGATCAAGCATCG